TCTGTCCTCATAAACCATCCAGGACACGTACTTGGAGCAGACAGTCTTACCCTCAGCAACACGACTTGAGACATAAGATTTAAGACTTATGACAGAAACATCACATAGCACCAGCAGACCTCCCCCTGCACTTTGAGTTTTGGTCCATCTTTGCCATTCAGAGCACAGCATCTCCTCACATCTCCCATCTCTTCAACTCTCCTTTTTCCTGCCAACCCGATGCCACCAAACCATCACTCACACTGTCACAGGCATTTCAGAGGCAAGCAGATGTGGGGTCAGCATTGCAACCGTGTGCAAATAGTGTCTTACCAACAACCCCCAGGGTAAGCTGTTACAACACAGTCTTTGTCGTTTGGTCTTGATATTTAAATGCTTGACCTTATCTGACAGCGCTCAAGAGACTGACATCATTATCCTCTCACAAAATATCTGCTGTGAATATTTACACTGTTCAAAACACCGCAGAATACAGCAATAAAACAAAACATTACAATGTACATGCATCACAAGTAGGGCTAAACTATGAAAGCTCTTCATTAACAATACATGATGGTTGCCTCAAACAAAGGCGTTTGTAAAATAAACGTTTTGTGAAATAATTGGACCACAACATGCTCAACATTTTATAACTTGCATACTAATACAAAAGAGTCCTGTGAATAACTATTTGACACTTTTGAGCTTATAGAGCTGATTGGCAGAGAGAGGGTGGCCCTCTCTTTTTCACCTTTCTTGCAGTCTGAAAAGGCTAGTCTAAAGATAATACATACATGTGACAACAAATATTAACGGGCGAAGTCACGCCTATCTCCGTCGTTCTAACTGATGTGCCACAACTTCTGCGGTCTATGGGCAGTTTCAAAATGGCCGCGGGGGCTGGAAAATGTGAAAAAACGCATCTGCGCATGCGTCAGCCGGCACGAGACCCATTCATTTAAACGAGTGCCTTCAAAAATTCACAGCGACTAAACTAGACTGGTCCAAAAACATTCACTCCCCTCAGCATTGACACACATGTGGAACGGAGCTTTGGGCCAAGAGCCACTTTTGGACCATCCTGTGAAGGTGTTTTTGAGAGGTAAGAAGATGCTATATGTTAGCATTGGCTAATTCTTATTCCGGGTCCACCCCCATCGGCCTGGGGTGGTATTGCAAGCATGTCAGCGCACGTAGTTTTGAGCCGGGACCCGCCCCCCCTGGACAAAAGGCATACAAGTGACAACATACATGCATGTGTTGTAGACCTATGAACCATAATTGCATGGATTTTAGCACTAAGGGTGCATTCACACTTCAGTCCCAGTGAACCAGAGTTCACTTTAAGTGAACCAGTGAGTGAAAATACTTCATTTGTGAATGTGTGAAACCACCAAAATGATTTCAATAACTACTAGAAGTGTACACGTCATTTGGTGGTTTCACATCTTCCTAGTTTGCCTTTATTGGTAAAGAGATTCATCTGATTCATCTGATTCACTTGGGACTCAAGTATGGACCAGCCATTTTTCATTTTCTGAAGTTTGAAAGTTACGTTCCCCCACCCCCACAAAAGCAAAACGCATGTTTGAAAACTATAATATTAAGTTAAAAAACTAAAAGATGACTTGATTGATCAAAGGTAGGTCTAAAGAATACTCAATCACTAACATAAGAGCTTTAGAGCTGCAGCCCTAATTGCAAGTAATGAGAGAGAGAAATGGTGAGACATGCATTGAACAAAAATATATTTCATTCGGAACTTGCAGCTTATCTGAGCCTCCGGAGAGAAATAATCAACCCAAGTCAGTGACCAGAATTCTACAGACTCCAGACGCAGTGGGGGAAGGGGTAAAATCAATAATTTACAAGTAATCTAATGCATGCAGTGGACTCTTTAAACTCACTTACGTAACTAACACTTAAATGTGCCAGAACATGGTCTGCTGAAAACATGTGTATTATGCAAAAGGTTATTCTTGCATGTGATGGAGGAAAACGTGAGCAGCAAATCTCAAAGCACATGTCATGCTTTTGTATAGAGCTCTGAAGTCCCGCCACTTGGCAATCCACTCAAGTTCCAGAGGTAAAATTGTCCTCTGCATTTGACTAATTCTTTAATGTCAAATGCAGTGGCTGTGGAGCCACCTCCAGATATTGATGCTTTGTTTGGTCAGATGTACAGGTATGAGGCACGACCGAGCTTACCTTTATTTAAAACCGTTAATAAAATAGAGATGTGTTCAAACCTTAAATCTTTTTTACATGATTTTTCCCCAAAATTGCATACATTTTTACTTTTGGAACCTGGAAAAGGGCAGGCCCTTCACAGCAAAAAATCTTAGAACCTATAGAATTCAGCATCTAGTGAAACTAGCAATCGTCATTCAGGCAACTTAAGCTCCACCCAATGTAAATCAATATCTTCATGTCTGTTTTACAAATATGGCAACACGTTTGCTTGTTAGTATGTTTGATCTAACATCAATGATCATCAAAAACAATCATCATTCATTTAGGGGGATAAATCGATAATTGGTCAATCTAAATTCAACATTCCTTTAGGTGGATACATGATGCAGGAAAAGTCTTAAAAGCAGTTTTTTACAGAGTCTAATCTCATCTTTAATGTGCTCAATTACCAAGGTAAATTTGAGGCACACCCTCTTTCAATGAACATACAGCAATATCCAGAGATGCCAAAGCTCCATTTTTAAAATAATTGGGACTGAACAAAAACACATCCAGCTGTTTGCACAAAGGCAGACATGCAGACCAGCCGCACGGGGCATCTACACAGGGCTGTGCTGCATTTCAATGTGTGTGACTAAGTGAGCCGGGGGGACTTTTCAGCTGCTGTCAGTTCCACTGAGTTCAAGCCAAACCTCAGGGCACCTCTTATATCCATAGGTTGCAGAATGATAAAAAATTATGGGAAAGGAGAAAAGGCCACATAATATTGCTTTTAATATGACATTAAGCTGGAAAGTAAAATAGTGTTTCCTGGCACAACTGTTTTCCCACACAGATCTCATTCAAAAATGGAAACATTTGCATTTAGACAACCTTTGACTATAATGTCATCAGCAAAAGGAAATCACAGACAATCTTGGTGTGCACCCTGAGCCTATGGTGTGCATGCAGGGAAATGTAGCCACAACAGAATTGGTGAGAAGACAAAATGCCATTCAGTGGGCAGAAGCACTTCATAGATCTCATTTTGATTTTCAAAAGCTAATTTCACTGAATTAATATTTACAGGCTCACTGCAAGATGCATCAACAACAATATCAATCAAGCCCACATAATGATTGCATTTCATATTAGTTCACATCATCTTTGCAAATGAGCAATATAAAAAACACAAAATTAGCATGTAAACTGAGAGGGTGGAGTGATGAACTTGCTGGCACAGGTACAGTAGGCTGCATACTTTGGGAAATAGTCTAAGGATTTGATTGAAAAACAAAATGAATATAGCTAGCATGGGTAGTGATGACCTGCATGATGACACACGACCATGTGTCACAGTGAGAGATTAGGGAGATCTTGTCTGTAAATTAATGGAACATGTGAGACATTCCAACATCGTGCAGCCTGATAATATAGTGTTAAACGTTCGTTTGTTCAGGGTGCCAGCAATATACTTACCCCAAAGATGACTGTGTCTTCTCCTTGAAATATTGGGATAAACTTGTCTCCACGTACGATTTCGGATTTGTTCAAAGGACGAAAGCGACACAAAACCTTGATATTGCATTCAGCATTTCCATCAGCCATGGTGAATTAAGAAAATATAAGATTCCGAATGATGAATTGTAAGAGTACGTTCATCAGCAGCAGTACCCAGCCTTAAATCTCCGAGTAGCTTATAGCCACATGGTTAGGGCGAGACTCGTACAAGGATCATTAGAGTTTTACAAGTCTATTTGATATAAACGCAAGAGACAATCCAAAGGCCGTCCAATTCACAAAGTTGTTCAGGGAGAAATCCAACAAAGGAAAAGTGTAACAGCAGACGTAGTGGTGTGGAGCGATCCCGTAGTGGTCGGCGGGCTGGTTTCTGAATGAGCTGCAGGCTTTTAGAAGCATGCCTCTTGCATCAGTGCATCCCTCTCCTCTTCGGCTCCTCTCTCACTGTGGGCGGGCTCAGAGTAGTGACTGTGGCCCTCATCAGGACCAGACACCGGCGTGTGCAAGCTTGATTCACGTGGGCTGCTCTACTTTTACAAAACAAGTAGAAAAGTTTAGCACTTAAAAAGACACCAGGTTATTAAAACAATCAGCCAAATTAGCCTGAATGGTGCCAGCAGGTCTTTAACCTGAAATGTATTTACGTAAATGTGTCACAGTGACAATAACAAAGTAAGCTACAAAGTAAGATACTTTAGCTCGTCCACTTACACGCGTTAAATACGAAATTTCAGCTCTGATAAACTTGGTTGAACTTAATACACCCATATCATGCATATACATAACCAGAGAATGTGTATGTTTACCAAAATAAGCGTAACTCGTCTTCAAATTGATTAAGTTCCGTGTCTTTTGGAATCTTGGCGCCATCTCGTGGTGCAAGATCCATGGGTGCTACTGTATGGTGCTACTCGGTGAATAAAATGTAGGCAAAATGTATATGTCCCCTGGGCATTGTCATGGGGGCATTCCATATTCTGGACAATGCCATATTCTGGACACCATGCTATATCCATGGGTTTAAAGGGTTAACGATATCTATGGTCTAGTAACCAATGATGGAAAATACAGCCTTAACAGCTTTCTAAAATAACATAGAATAAAAATTAGAATACGTAACCATATCATTGGTTTGTAGAAATGTTTACATAATAGTCACCATATCACCGCCCGCGTCAGTGACGCCTGTGTGTAACCTAAGCGCTGGTGCGTCCTCCTGTCACCGCAGCCTCCGCCACCGGGTCCATTGCAGACGTTTTCCACCACTTCAATTCTCTTTATACAATATTTAACTGGTAAATTGCTGCTGTTGTGGCTTGTTGACGACAATGGCTGATCCAAAATATGCAAATCTGCCCGGAATTGTAAGTGCTTCTTCCATTTTTCCGCTCGAAAGCAGTATTAGCTTGACGTTAGCTTAAGCTGCCGTAGCTAGCATGAAACAGGCTAAACAAGGAGCTCTGTTATGATTGTGTTTATCTTTGCTTCCTACTAATGTATTTAGTATGTATGTTCAAATACACTTGATGAACAAAAAACTATCGTTGTATTGCACACATGAATAAAGGGTGGGATGTAGTTAGAGGCAACTCTAGTGGTCGGGGCGTTGGCTGTGATGACTTGTCTATTAAAGAGAAATGTCCTGTTTACATGTTTCTTCCATAGGCCTTCAATGAACCAGACGTGTATGAGACTGGTGACCTGCCTGAAGATGACCAGGCTCAGTTTGAGTCGGTGAGTGTGTTTTTCTCAGAGGCCGATTAGAAAATTATGATGTTAGCCATAAGCTAACAGGAACCCTTTTTAATGTTGTTGGTAGCACACATTTTTAAGTTATCTTTGGTGAGCTGAAATGTACAGAATTCATCAATAATTATGCTTCACATGTCATATTTAACCCCCTACTGTTGAAGGTCTAGCCGTTACAAAAACGCCTTCCCACTAGTTCAAAGGATTTGTGTAGACATATGCAGTGTGCACATGTATACCATTCATAGCTTAGATATAGTTATATAGTTATGTTGTCAAACCCTATTGACCTATTTAAATTTAAAATGGCTTAAATTATCAATACCTTTACCTGATTTGAATACCAGTCGGTTTAGACATGTGAATTCAAATGTTCTTTTTTCTTGTTCAATATTATTCTTATAATCAAAATATTCAAAATATGTTCACATACTCTCCTATATATTTTGGAAATGCCTGCCTGTTAATTTAATGTGGCTTCAGCACGTGCAGGGTGCTTGCGCAAGTCTTAAAAGTCTTAATAACTATGATATTTTCAAACACTGTTTTCCAGACCTTGAAGTCTTGATTTTTGTGTGAAAGTCTTAATAAAGTATGGGAAAAAATGTATGGTTGAATTTACAGAATGCTCAAAGACATTGTGAATAATGCATTTGTTCATTGAATACTAGCCTATAAAAATTAACATTTCTAATAAACACAGTAGGCACACAAGTATACAAGTACATAAAGTTAAGGTCTTGGGAAAAAAAAAAATCTGTTTTAAAAAAAGGCTGGGACTTTACTATCATTACGCACAAATTAGTTATACCTGTGCTATTTGCAAAAAGCATTAAGTGATAACTGATTCTAATTGGCCTTTCTCCTTCATGTTTCCATATTCGTTTACCCTCTTGACTTTGCTTTGAATCTCCCCAACCCTCCTGGAAATCTAGTATGTACAAGTAAGACTGACATTTTGCACTCAGTAAACTTTATACCATGCTTTTTGCATGTTCTATTGAAACTCTTTTCAATTATTTGATCTTTTGGGAGTAATGAGTAATCAACTTCTACGCTCTACATTTGTGTTTGTTTACTTATGGAATATCATACTATGCTACACTGTATGTTGCAGTATATTGAATTGAAAAGCAAAAACAAACAGCTAATTAAAATCTTTGCTTCATGGTTGCATTGTAAGCCTCTGTAGTGTGTGTAGGTGGCTGCCAAGAATTACATGTAAATATTGCAATAGATTTTGAATTTTGGTTTAAATTTGCTAGTGTACACTTTACAGAGGCTATATCTTAATAATTAGGCCGGTGCTTTATCAGATCATATGTGATTAATCCAGAGACACTAACTGCATGGAGGAAGCTATTTCTGGCTGAGTGGGTTATGATTCTCGTCCCTCCTCTAGAAGTTAATCATACTTAATCATGGAAACTCATTTTCTTTGCATAATAGTATATTTTACGAGCATGTTTAACCTGTCTAAACCTCTCCCCTTGTATTCCACCTCATGTATACACCAATAATGCTGTGAGACACTTATGCTTCTGCATATGTTCTTCATGCATTATAGCAGAGAAGGTAACTGTTGTGTTGGGAGGACATCTCTACTGAATAGGAGAGGGCAGAAAGAGCGTGATAAGCTGTCTGAAAGGTCTCCAGGGCAGACGTTCTTCAACACTGCTCTCTTTCTTGCTCTTCTTGCCCCTGGTCAATTGTTCCGGTTGTGTGCATGGCATGTGATAACCACATTAATCTGTCTTGTGTCTCTCTCTCTCTCCCCCCAACTCTTCTCTCCCTTTGTTACTTTCTCTAACTCTTTGGAAACCCAAGGAGCTGGTAAGAGTCTAACTCCTCTTCCAACCCCATCCACCCATTTGTGTTGGTGTGTGTTCTGTTTACGCCTGTGTGTCATCTTAGTGGGTTTATTAATCTACTCGATTGATCACTATCAAGATTGATCAATTGGTAGTGCATGTCATTTTATGGACACTAATCATCCTAGAAATGAAATCTAGTAATGGTGTCTGAGACCTGGGCATTTTGTCAAAGAAAAGAGAGAACATGTTTTAAGATTGCACAGCCCTCAGATCCACGTAATAGTGAAATACTTCTGTCATCAAAGAATGTTTGTATTAATCAATCTACAGTATATTAAAAATCATTGTTTCTGTTAAAGATATCAAGATTTCTCTTTTGATTTAATTTGGAATCACAACATCGAACTTTTAGTTTGTCAGATTTTGCCATTTCTAAATTTTAAATTTGGATTGCCAAGTAAATTGAAATTCAATCAAAGTCTATTATATCATTACTACTGTATATGACCCAGTTTTTTTCCCGACAGGAGGAGCTCTGCAGTGACAGTGTGGAGAGGATTGTCGTCAACCCCAATGCAGCGTATGATAAGTTTAAAGACAAGCACATCAGCACCAAAGGACTTGGTCAGTTGTATTTTGTTATGAGGCAACCATGAAAAAAATAAAATAATAATGATAATATATATTAATTAATTATATGATTCATCAATTGCATGTTGTTTAGGGACAGACATTCACTTTTTCCCCCCTTCTCTTGCTTATCAGATTTTTCCGACAGAATTAGTAGAAGCCGACGTGTGGGTTATGAATCCGGAGAGTTTGAAATTGTAAGTATTTTGCAATTATATATTTTGCTGTGGTTCACTCTTTGACCCTTTAGAGCAGGGTCAACCAGACCGCTTTAGTGGCCCCTCAATCATTATCATTAATTCTGTTTGGTGGTCAGAATTAATATAGGTTACCATATAACATGGTTTGCTATTTTGTTAAAAAAAAAAAAAAAATCAAATTCTAAAGAAACACCTAACTCTAAAATATATTTTTTTAAGAAATGAACTATCTTTTCAGCACACCTTGGTTGTCATGTCAGTCGTCTGTTAAAAGTGTTCAGAGATGAAAGGCAGACTTACATTTTCTTTGTTATCTCTGAAACAGGTTTATTAATGTATTCTTTTGATCTTTGTTTAGCTTGGAGAAGGTAGTGGGGAGAAGGAGACGCCCCAGCAGAAGTACCTACGTCTGGTCAATGAGATCCAGGAGCTGACCAAAGAGGTGGACTCCATCCAGGTGCGCGGCTCAGAATATCAAAGGCCCCAGAACTGAACAAACTCATTTCATGCTCAGCGTGAAACTAGTATTTTTCTTTTTTGGTTGGAGACAGTCGGTTCTGATTGAATACAAGTTTCCTGTCCTAGATCTCAAAATTGGAACCCTGTTTGTTCTTCTTACAAGCAAAAAAGTACAGTTTTTTTGTGGGTAGTCTGTACATGATTCATTCTATTCGACCTGGGAGAAATGCTTATTCAGTTCATGCCAAAATACATCTTGTAACACGTGCGTCTAGCTTTTTTTTGTTTCTTACTATTCATTTAGACATCTATCCCTGTCACCACTTCATTACAAAGGAGATGATAAAAAAAAATCTGCATTCAGTCTTGACGGTTGATGTGTTCTTTCTTAGTCGGTCACAAAGGAAAGCGGTGCAGAGGAGCGTCTCACCCCGGTGGTCCTGGCTCAGCAGGCGGCTCAGCTCAAACAGCAGCTGGTGTCGGCTCATCTCGACACACTCCTGGGACCACAAGCGCACATCAACCTCAGTGATCCAGATGGAGCGCTGGCGAGGTGAGCCATGGAAACAAAGGCGATCCTCACAAACCCCACCAGACTCTTGAGTGGGAGAGTGATGAGGTTATGAAGACACCTACAGCTTAAGATCTCAATAAAACATTTTCTCTTTATAGAAGAATCTCATTATGGATCTAATACAATCAGTGGGTTTACAACAAAACCAGACTGTTCACCTTGGGCACTTGATACAATTTGAGGCAAGAGTGTGCAAAGGCGTCTTGTGCTTTAAATTGCTATCATACATTCAGTATAATTACAACTTTGGCAAATGTAATCGCACAACGTGTCATTTATTTCAAGATTTTTTCCCCACATATACTCTGCACAAGTCATTTCATTTTAGCCGCGCAATTGAATGCACCATGATGCTTATATTTCTAATATAAACATGGATTTTCCCTGTGCTCTTTAATCCATCTGCTAGCCTTGTCTCAATAGTATCTGATTTATGAGGTTCATGCTGGTTCAGATCTGTTTTCCCAAATGGACTGGATTCTCAAACCTCAATCAGCATGCCCAAATTTACATTACACAAAATAATCCAGGTTCACCTTTCATAATCAATCTCTTCAGTGAATGAACCAATAGAACAACAACAGTCGCTGGCACTGATGACAATATTGAATCTACGGTAAAATCCCTTTGTGTCTCCACTTCATTGTTCCCAGGCGTCTGCTCACTCAGCTGGAGGTGGTCAAGGGCAGTCGTGTCAGCACCACGGCAGACGGGAAATCCACAACAACGGCAAAGGGTCCAGATGGAGTGGTCCTCTATGAGCTGCACAGCCGGCCGGAGCAGGACAAATTCAACAACGCTGCCAAGGTGAAGTGGAGAACAGCAGGCATAAGCAGTTTAGATGAGACGACCTACTATAGTCTTATTCCCACTGAGTAAAAACACTGGTTTTTGACCAAAAACCCATGGGGGCTTCTTTCTTACACATGGAGCAATGCAGGCTGGTGGCTTGAAACAACTTTCCTTTAACCCGCCTTTTGACTTTGTCGTTTTGCTGAGGCATGTTCAGTGTGAAGACTAAGGCCAAATATAATGGTAATTTAACAGGAGAGGAGCCATGAGTGGTCATGCCTTAGTCCATTATATTGTGAAGTCCTGGGAGTACACTGCAATGTAACTGATTTTGAACTCAGAGGTGAAAAATGGACGCAGGTTAAAAAAGGGACATGTGAAAAAGCTGCAATTTAGCTGGATTTCTGTCTTTTGGATGTCGTCCAGGCTCAGGCTAAATGTTAATCACATAAAGCACATGGGAGTTATGTAGAATGATTTTGTCTTTGTAGGTGGCAGAGTTGGAGAAGCGTCTGGCCGAGCTGGAGACTGCAGTTGGTCCAGGATCAGACAAAGCGGTATGCAGACGGCACACACTATCTTTCTGCCTGAATAGAAAATCTTTGCCTCTTACCAGATTTGCTCTTTATGTTAAAGTTTCTCCTTGTTTATTCTGTTTTGTTTTGTGTTTACAGGGACCGCTGAATGCTGGAGTACAAGGAGGCAGTTTGATGGTAAATTTGAGTATTGTGTTTTTCAACTAATTCTGTGACTCATGTCAGGCAGCCTGGGTCGTCAGTTACTCAATAAAGTGATTCTACAACACAAGTTATGGAGATACTGATTCAAACATGTTTTTTTATATGATTTTTTCACAGGACACAATAGAACTTCTCCAAGCTAGAGTCAGTGCACTAGACTCTGCTACCTTGGATCAAGTGGAGGCCAGACTGCAGGTAATTCACGTCACAATCAGCAAGTCCCTTTCAAGTGATTGGTGTAAAATAACATTATCATTGATTTTTAGAGTGTCCTTGGGAAGATGAACGAGATTGCTAAGCACAAAGCTGCTATTGAAGACGCAGAGACTCAAAGCAAAGTTAGTTCTGTTTGGATGTTTTGTAAATTTGTCCATTTCATTGGATGGGGAAATGTTACCTATAGGTTAATAAATGTACAGTTCTTCTCCCATTATCTACATAAGGGGTTGAAAAATGCTGGGAAGTTGCCTGAAAATATTTGCATTAATTCTAGGTCACGCAGTTGTATGACTTGGTGCAGAAGTGGGATTCTGTGTCAACCTCAGTGCCTCATGTGGTGCAGAGGCTTGTCGCTGTCAAAGACCTCCATGAACAAGGTACGAACACTGATTCATGTATTTGGGTTTTATTGTTAGACTAGAGCAGGGGTTTCAAACTCCTTTGGGTCGAGGGCTGGATTAAAAAATGAATAACTGGGAGGCCGAAAGTAGTGTTTGAAGCTCATTTTTGCATCTGTGAATATTTTTATATGTGTCTTTTACTTTATAATGGTGTTTTGACAAAAGCTAAGTTTGGAAATTATTTTTGAGTTGATTTTTCTGGACACCACCACACCTTGGTGGGCCTTTTTGTTTGACCCTGTTTGAGGAAAAAAAAAAAGCATCCTATGCGGGTTAAAGCACGAAAAATGGAGCATAGTATAATACTGTGCAAGACTCGTGTTGGGCTGGATTTACACCGTGACACGACAATCTATAAAGGCAAAGAATTAAAACAGGATCAAAATGGATTCACATGAATAATACAAATTTGTGTGAACCATGTTGTTGTTTCATTGAGAGGCAAGAAATCTGTGAAAAGGTGATGGTACAATTAGACTAAAACGTTTTTGAATTGTGGTTTCTGGTTGAAGGTCCTGCTTTTTTCTATAGAGTTGTTGTTTTTTTCTTGGGGGGGGGGGGAAATGCATATTATTCAGTTCATTAGTTTGCCAAGACTAATAGACTTAAATAGATGAATTGCATGTAATAGAATTACATGCAATCTTTGATATCTATATAATGCATGTATAATCAGAATCATTTTTATTGCCACGTAAGTAACAGGAAGTCAGACTTGGAAATTGCTTTGGCTCAGTGCAACAATCAGAAAGAGATAATAAAAAAATAAAAATGCATTATTAGAGCAAAGGGATTAAGTGCGTTATTGTAATTCCATTAGTTTTATTCCATGTAAATAACTGCTTTCACTTGGATGTGCAGCAATGCAGTTTGGGCAGCTGCTGACCCACCTGGACACGACGCAGCAGATGATCAACAACACACTCAAGGACAACAACACGCTGCTCACTCAGGTAAACGCACACAAAAAGACTGACTATTCTGTTTGGTTGTTCTGACCAGTATTTGTACCTTATCTTTATCCGTGTTAGATTCTAACAATGCAGCCTAATACTTCATTTGTCAAGAATTGATTCATTGCAGAATTGGGTTTAAAAAAGTAATTTGGACCAAGTTTTCAATGTTTGAAAGTCTTTGTCAAATCGGAAAGAGAAATTTGAAACTCATGCCCCACGCTAAACGAGAGGTTAAAAGCACTAGAAAGACACATTAGCTTCAGCGCTAAGCTAGGCTACAAAACCTGTCTTCTATAAAACATGAGTCACTGCACACGTTTTCATAGTTGCATATTTACAAACTGGGAAAAAGTCAAGGCAACGCCACTCAGCTGGATTCATATCAAATTATGGAACAAATCTCATTAGTATTCAAGCCTGTATAATTAACTTGATCAAATTGTCAGTGTTCAATGGTGTTTGTCGAGCAAAATTGTTTCTCCCCCCGTAACTTTGGAAATGAAACGTTGTGAATTTTAGGCTTTGACGGAGCTGATTGGAAACTGATCTAATTACCTCCATGTGACAGGCATTCATGTGTAAAGCTAGTGATTGAACAAAAGTGTTTTGAGAGCCAGGAACTGTTGGGTGGATTATTTTGTGTTCTGAAAGTTACCCCAGGTTTTCTCAGTCTCATTCAGTTTTCGAACATGTCTCTTTCAGATTTGAAAATTGGTTTTACGGGAGTCAAAACCGCTAGGCTAAAGTAGTGAGTTTCTTTCAACTATTTCTCATAAGTGTCTAATTTTTTCTTTGTTGTGCTCTGCTCTAGGTTCAACAGACAATGAAAGAAAATCTTGTCGCCATCGAAGAGAACTTTGCAGCCCTGGATGAGAGGATGAAGAAAGTTTCTAAGTAATTTGCTAAAGGTCGGTCAGGGACAGTGGAGCATGGACAAATGACTGGACTCTCCGTAGGTCACAGTGAAGAAAGGCTTGGACTGACCGCTGACCTCTCTGCCCATACATCTCCTGGCCTCTGAAAACACCGCGGCCCGGTTTTTCTAGTCACACTGGAAAGATGGATTCAGACCAAACGCTTTTGTCCTCACATCTTCACTTTCCGCACTCGGTATAAACGAAAACACATGATAATTCTCAGACATTTTGCTGAAATAAAGAAGTTTGGTGCTACTTTTCTGTAGTTAAAGGTCATGAGATAGAGGGTTGTGTGTGTTGGACAGGACAGCTACACATTAAGACTATTGAGCAAAGTTATTTGATTCTGCTGTTCTTTTGGGGGCATGTCTATGAATCTTATCACTGGCGTAACATCTATTTGAACAGCTTTTATTTCTCTGCTCGCTTTTCCTTATTAGACTGATTTCTTTATTAAATTATTAGTATTATTAAACAAAATGTCATTCCTTGGACTGAAGAGATTCAATTTGTTTTGGGAAAATACAAATGTTGGGTTAATTGACATTGTAGGTTGACTGTTTGACCTTGTTAAATATGTAAAATTACGTGTGTGTGTATGGTAGGGAGGTTTGTGCCGACTAAAGACAAATTCAACGAAGGAACGCTTGTAAATATGCCTTTTCCCATACAAACTGTTGCCTGTAACTGTAATAATACTGAGACCGAATGCCGCAGACAAACTTTTAATCTGCTCTTGTCTTTGCATAAAATTTGATTACATCTGTACATCTGTGGTCATGGAAAATGGTTATAAATAAAATTCTCAATATATTAAAAGTTGGTTTCCCCTTTCAAGCAGAATCACTATGTATCTGTATAGTATGGTTTAATATTCAACACACACTGATCCAATAATTATACAGCCGACTGAGCTGCGCGGTCATAACCTTGTTCAAACACAAGGTGGCAGCAAATTATAATACAAAAGACCACAGAAACATGCGACTACTATCACTGTTTACGTTTGTCTCCTTCAGGATGAAAACACGTGTCTGTTAAGTATCAGTATCATAGAAATGGGTATGGCTCGTGGTGAGGATTTTAGTGTTTCTCCATTATAGTAACCTTACAACATGTCAGGACATGTCCACACAATATATACAGTCTATGGTCCACACACAGATGGACTTTAGTGCAACCTGTAAGATTAACATATTTCACGCACGACGAAGAATGTAAATATTTCCCGTTTTTTTTGTCAGCAACTTCTAAACCAACTACAACCACAAGTAATATGACTTGATGTTTTCCACTGCTTAAAATTGCTAATGCTTATGTTTTTCTCAAAAATAGTAGGAGCATTAATTTATCAAGAAATGTAACACACTACTGTATCTGTAGTAAGACTTTAAAGGCGACCTAAAAGTAAGTAATTTGTATTTATATACTGTAAAGGGTGACCCCAGACTGTGTAGGTGACTGGCTGCTGTTTGATCACAGGATCAGATGCTGGAGGTGGTGAGTCATCCTGGCATCATAGCTCAGCCTTTGCCCCTGATGCTCTCTCTGTGCTGGACAAGTGGATTATCAGTTTACTGTAAGTGGAGCACGCTTCCAAATCACTGGGGAAGAGGTTTAAAGTCTGGCTTTGTGACTAGGTTCTTTTATTTATAATAATTTCTTCTACAATATGAAAACATGTTGATTGATACTGCATGATTACAGACAGGTTTCCTCTGGGGCCAGGACTCATTTAAAACATTTCAATGGGATTTTCCTGCGCAGGTCAATCACTTACATTAATCATACATTCTGTTCTCTGTAAATTGCATTATTGATTTGAAATGGCTTTACCGAAATGGATCCATTCAGTTCTTATCCAAAAAGTGCTGAGCACATTATTTTCATGACTGAGGTCACCTTGGAGACGAGTGATGCAAATGGGGATTCTCAAAATTTAATGGATGAAAAGATGGGATTACTTGAACATCATGAACCAAAATAGAACACACTTTTTTAATCATTTGGGGAAAGCATCTTTAACATAAGTACACATTTCGCATCACTAGTGGTGAAAAAGTGGTTCCCCCCTTGGTGCACTTATAAGTAATATTTCTCTTAATAACATTTGTTATACATTCTTCTGTGTTATTATTAGTAATATAGTATTAGTAATATTACTTATTATTATAAATAAGAGTTTAATTTCAGTCAGAAATGATATGTTTTGAGACTGTGGATGTTTCTACTGTTACATATATTCCCTATACATTCTAATTATGGCTTTTTCCCTCTCAAGTTTGCATTTATACTGCAGGATCAAGTGAGTGTAGGGAATCTGATACAGGCCCTCCCAAAAGGGAATGGCCCAGATGAGCACATACTGCTGACCATATCATGGTGGAGTTTTAAAGGTTAGAAGACGAGTCAGCATGACAGCTGGATGGACACGATGCCTACAAACAATTATCTATTCATTGGTTCACAACGAATGACATCTTCACAGTGATAGGAAAGTGACATCATGTCATTTGTAATATTACTAAATCCTTCAAGGGGTCCAACCTTAACTAACAGGTCACAAAGGATGTCTTTGGTTACAAAATACCTCTATCATAATCAATATAAAACTATCATAATCAATATAAAACTATCATAATGAAAATCTATTCTCTGTTGGAACTTTCTTCGTCTTGAGTTGGTAGTTTTTGTTAATTATCTGCACAGGTATAGAGGAAACGACACATATTTGTTAGTATAGCTATTTGTTTCAGCTAAGGACTAATCTGTGAAAAAGATGTGTCACATCCCTTGTCCTCACAATGTTCTTTGTTTATGCTTGGACTTCTAATCATATTTTCTGTGAACTTTCCATTTTTTGTTTATTCCCTTATTTCACACATCACTGACTGGCTGAATCCACCTGTCACTCTCGCTGACTGGACAGAGATCGACCAATAGGAGGAGTGGGTGGAACGTCTGTGTTTTTGTAAACCGCTGCATTATTCAGTGAAAGGATAGATCACCGAGTCCTACAGAGCAGGCCGTGGCAGCCGCTCTGGGTTCAGATCGAGTCTTGGTCTGTTTCATTGTTTTTTCACCAGTAGTAAGTAATAGCAGTAGTAAATAATATTTGTTTAGGGATATTCAACTTAATATTTCCTTGGTCTCTTGGATGAATATTTTGTTGACAGCACCGGCTTTAGTTTTGAAAACAAAAAAATAAAGGTCTTGAGCCACATTGAAACCAAGCTATGACAAATGTTATACTTTTTTATTTCACAGTATAACATCAAAGTAGAATATCTATTGAAATGTGGAGACAATAATTTGCACTGCTATGAAAATGTAAATGTTTTGCATTTTGAAGCCGTGCCGTGGGCTGGATCAGAGTGGATCAGGCCTGATTCAATTCAATTCAATTCAATTCAATTCACTTCAAAAAGCCCAAATTCACAAAATTAGTCATCCCGGAGGACTTTACAAAGTTGTTGATACACCAACAACAGATCTGATAATCAAACCATTCAAACACAGAAATGCAATAATAACAAACACATAGAAGCCATTGGTCCATAAGGGAGCAGGACGATCACATCCCATAAATGCCTTAAATGTCCCAGGTCATGATTTGGCCCTTACATGAGCTATAGGTTAATGACAGGGTGAAAGTCCTTCTTATGCAACAATCATGTGGTATAGTTATTGGATTACATTATATAAATACAAAACACGGTATCATTACTGTCGCATCTGTAATGTTGACACGCACCGCCGACTAAACCTGAGTCCTGTTTTATCGGGTTGGACCTGTTCTCTTTTAATTTGAAAATCCACTTTTCCTTTGATTTTATTACTTAATTACTCTAGTAGTTTCTTCTGGTGCTTGCGCTCCAGTAATAAGACAGCAGAGGCTTGTGGGAAAAGCACTTAAACATTACCACAGAGACGTTATGTTTTAGTTACATTTGTCGACGGGAAAAAGTGGCCTCATTGTATGTATAATGTGAATGATTTATTAATCCTTATCACATAGGGGGGCAAAAACCTTCTTAAATAAGAGCTATAATAGTCTGATATACCTTGTAAGTTAGAATATTAGAAGAAAATCATCTCTATATGTTTTACAGGAAAACACTAACCTGAGAGTAGATATTAATACTTACATTTTCTTTCCTCACACAATTTAGGTTATTTTCACCCTCCATTAATTCTAGTAGCCACATCTCAATACCTAAAATGAGATATCTAATTCTAATATAAAGTTTAATTTCAAACTGTGAAAAAAATAATTCTTTCTGCACAACATTTGTAAACTTCTTCCACTGTGTTTCTACCCATATATCTATCATTATCCCCAGTCTCTCACCTTTTTAATAACTGTATCGTGACTTATGTAAATGTATTAATATCACCTCTATTCAACCAGGATTTTTTTTTTTTCCCTACTCAACTCACATTACATTTACACTTAAATAAAGAAAAAACACCTATTCATTACTAATAAGATCGTCACACAGTCATCCATTCATATAATTCATTTAGAAATCATCCATCCGACCCTAATTCCAGCCATAGAAGTCTTTGTCCAGCGAACAGAGAAATCAGTGGGTTTCCTCCTTGGGCAGCGGAACACAAAGAGGCAACAGGGAGCAGCGATTGTGTTTGCGCTGCTGCTTGTGGAGAGCCCCCCGAAGCTTGTGCTGCCAGAAAAACCCCCACCTGTTCACAGAGCTGTTTAAACTTTAATAGTGTAGAGTTGTGGCTATGATGGTACTTCAATAGAGTGCACATCAGGAATTTAAAAAAGTTCACGGAAATATCAACTTGAAATCCATCATCATTATGGCAGAACAGAACAGAAGCGCAAAAGATGGGACAATTTCTTTTTAGACTTGGAAGCAGAAGTGACACGGATTATAGTGTGTGTGTGTGTGTGTGTGTGTGTGTGTGTGTGTGGAAATAGTCCAAAAAATCTGAAATGTAAACACTAAA